CTTTTGTCCATCAATATACTTGTATGCACAATTTATCTCGGATTATGTCAAATATGTGTAGAGTTTGAGACCCAAAGTTTGTTGGAATACGTTTCTCGCCATTCGTTTGATGGAGTAAGTTGAATTAAGTGTTAATATTATGCCTATAAATTTTATTATTCCCAACGTCCCAGGTTAAGATTTATATTTCATATTTCGTCTGTTATTCTGATATTATTTTTATAATACATTAGTTAGCAATTATGCGATGTGTTTAGAGTCAACGTATTTCTATGCCAATGTTGGTATTATTTAGACATCACGTTGTCAAATTATTAAAACTGTAATTGTATATCATGTAAAAGTGGGTACTGGTATGTAAATAATTTGTTTTCCATCTATGTATATCAATGTTACTTTTATGTATAAATATTATTGTATATAGTATGCTGCCCATTGCATTATTGATGCCATTATGTGATTTTTTAATGGAAAAGGACGTTTTTAAGTTTTAATAACCTGTCCAATTCCTTTTGAATTGTTCAAATAAACGACGCTTAAACTGAAGTAAGTTGAATGCTGAACAGTACAATTTGCTTACCATGTAATTTGCTTAACGATTTTTATATTTATACATGTATTCGAAATGTCCAGATATTTATTCTTGGTTCTATAGGGAACTAAACGTAACCTTAACACTGTTTTCTCCCGCGTCATAAACTTTACTTAACCCTGTTAAATATTTGTTCAGTATTTTTGTTGTATATTGCGTTGAAACTACCTGTTGATAGAGACAATTTGGTTACCGCGGAGAGGATACTCAAGTACAGGGAAATCAATGTTTAATAAATTCGTTTTGATGGATTGACAAGTTTATAATTTAGATGAATTATGAATAATTTGCCCCAATATTTGTTTTGGAAATTGAGCGAAACATAAAGTCCAAAAGAAATGGAGCTAAGAGCGCATTCCTGGCGAAACAAAGACATTACTTCTATTCAAGCGTATAGTCGTATTTCCCGGATTGAGCGCATCCCTGACACCACAGAGACATGCATTTATCAACATTTACATGAACTTGAAAAGTGAACATTTACAATTTTGAAGATTTTAAAACTATGGAGTGAATTTGAATGAGGGAAAGTTGGCGTTGAAAATAATCATTAATATTGAAACACTGTATCGGTCCGCACTACACGTGTAGAAATTACATAGTGAAGCAAGCATATTGGTTCGTGACATTTAAGGAGGCTCCACACTTTCGAAATTAACCAACAACATTCGTTGAAACTTTTATATAACGGTTATGCAACTATGTAGAGTTGATTTTATGAAAATCTAAACATTCCCATAGTTTGGGGACTATTTTTTTTTTAAATACCAAAAAAATAAGTTTTCGTCAAGTTTCGTTCGAGATAATTGAGTCAGAACTGTACTTTATCCGGAAGTACGTCACGAAAATGGACACTGATGACGATGTATTGCGCCACCTTAACAACATGGATCTGTGTATTTTAAATATTGTGATAATGTTCAGATGCATGTTTGTAACTCGTCTCTAACAATTCAGTATTTAATGACTAATTATGACATATATACATATTTCAAATGTTGATGTAAATTCGAATGTATTATGAAATGAGTTGAGGTGTGAATAAATAAATCATCCGACAATTTGGAGATTTTTCTTCAGCGTCCTCAAAGTAAGGGGGACATTCTATTAACCACAGGATCGTGACAATCCGTATTACCGACTAATGTAAAATATCTGTATCACTCTTTAAACAACCCGTTGATCATGAACAGAAGGTGTTAATCCAGTAAATCTATATATAAAACACTTTGTGAAAGTGGAGATTTTACTGATGAAGGAATAGCACAAGAATATATAGTGTTCGGTTAAACTATGTAAATTCAATATACAAACCCACGAATATCTTCTTATCTTTTCCCTTTTTAATCTAGGCTTGCTATGACATGGGATAATGTCCATTAACACGTCTACATTCAGACTAACTCAGTTATAAGCGTGACTGATCATGATTTCTAGTTAACCACGAATACATCTATGAGGCAAACAAATTAAGGGTATTATAATGGAATATGGTTGTTTTCATTCTCTGTACATTGTCCATGATTTGTGTATAATATGTATTGTATACTGATGGCCTAACGTTCAAATAAAACTTGAAACTTGAATACAGAACGTGACTCGCCGGCCGTTTGTTTGTTTAGTGTTTCATTATTTGATCACCGACATATTCTTATGAATATGGTATGTATACATTCACTTACATCGTATAAAAATATTAAAAGAACGTTTCACAGAAGAACCAGTAGTTTCATATTCTCAAATATGAATAAAACATCAAACATTATGATCTGATCGTTGTATACTGTTCTTCTAAAGATGTAGTTCTAAGCTCTGTCGAACGGACACGAAGCTTTTTCTTCATCGTATACCAAAGTGATGAAGTGTATGTCCCCATAAAAATGCGAAACAAAACTAAAGGGGACCCAGATCCTATTGAAACACCCTTCAAATCGATGCCTAATGGACATATCGGTAGGTACACGTGTAGAGATCATATCGGTACATACACGTGTGGAGATCATATCGGTACGTACCCGTGTAGAGATCATATCGGTACGTACACGTGTGGATATCATATCGGTACATACACGTGTGGAGATCATATCGGTACGTACTCGTGTGGAGATCATATCGGTACGTACACGTGTGTAGATCATATTGGTACGTACACGTGTGGAGATCATATCGGTACGTACACATGTGGAGATCATATCGGTACGTACACGTGTAGAGATCATATCGGTATGTACACGTGTGGAGATCATATCGGTACGTACACGTGTGTAGATCATATTGGTACGTACACGTGTGGAGATCATATCGGTACGTACACGTATGGAGATCATATCGGTACATACACGTGTGGAGATCATATCGGTACGTACACATGTGGAGATCATATCGGTACGTACACGTGTAGAGATCATATCGGTACGTGCACGTGTGGAGATCATCATGATACGTACACGTGTAGAGATCATATCGGTACATACACGTCTGGAGATCATATCGGTACGTACACGTGTAGAGATCATATCGATACGTACACGTGTGGAGATCATATCGGTACATACACATGTGGAGATCATATCGGTACGTACACGTGTGGAACATATCGGTAGGTACACGTGTAGAGATCATATCGGTACATACCCGTGTGGAGATCATATCGGTACGTACACGTGTGTAGATCATATTGGTACGTACACGTGTGGAGATCATATCGGTAAGTACACGTGTGGAGATCATATCGGTACGTACACGTGCGGAGATCATATCGGTAGGTACACGTGTGGAGATCATATTGGTAAATACACGTGTGGAGATCATATCGGTACGTACACGTGCGGAGATCATATCGGTAGGTACACGTGTGGAGATCATATTGGAACATACACGTGTGGAGATCATATCGGTACGTACACGTGTAGAGATCATATCGGTATGTACACGTGTGGAGATCATATTGGTACATACACGGGTGGAGATCATATCGGTACGTACACGTGTAGAGATCATATCGATACGTACACGTGTGGAGATCATATCGGTACATACACATGTGGAGATCATATCGGTACGTACACGTGTAGAGATCATATCGATACGTACACGTGTGGAGATCATATCGGTACGTACACATGTGGAGATCATATCGGTACGTACACGTGTGGAACATATCGGTAGGTACACGTGTAGAGATCATATCGGTACATACCCGTGTGGAGATCATATCGGTACGTACACGTGTGTAGATCATATTGGTACGTACACGTGTGGAGATCATATCGGTAAGTACACGTGTGGAGATCATATCGGTACGTACACATGTGGAGATCATATCGGTACGTACACGTGTAGAGATCATATCGATACGTACACGTGTGGAGATCATATCGGTACATACACGTGTGTAGATCATATCGGTACGTACACGTGTGGAGATCATATCGGTCCGTACACGTGTGGCGATCATGTCGGTACGTACACGTGTAGAGATCATAATGATACGTACACGTGTGGAGATCATACCGGTACATACACGTGTGGAGATCATATCGGTACGTACACGTGTGGAGATCATATCGGTAGGTACACGTGTGGAGATCATATTGGTACATACACGTGTGGAGATCATATCGGTACGTACACGTGTGGAGATCTTATCGGTAGGTACACGTGTGGAGATCATGTCGGTACGTACACGTGTAGGGATCATATCGGTACGTACAGGTGTAGAGATCATATCGGTATATACACGGGTGGAGATCATATTGGTACGTACACGTGTGGAGAGCATATCGGTACGGACACGTGTAGAGATCAGATCGGGATAGACACGTGTGGAGATCATATCAGTACGTACACGTGTGGAGATCATATCGGTACGTACACGTGTAGAGATCATATCGGTATATACACGTGTGGAGATCATATCGGTACGTACACGTATGGTAATCATAAAGATACGTATATTGAACACGTGTGGTGAGCATGTCTACATACACGTGTGGTGATCATATAACATGTAAAAGTACGTACATGTGTGGTGATCACATCAGAAAACATGTTGTATTTATATTTTGAGATGCCAACGTGACGATCATTTTATTCTCAGTTAACGTTGTTGATAACATTGTCAGATTGTAAACACACGTGTCTATTGATTTCTGTTACAACTGTTTTATCGATCGTTCATTCGTGGAACGTTTATATTTTGACACTGTCCAGTCCTTCTAGATCTGGACGTCAACATCCGACACGAACCCAAGTATTGGTTCATACAAAATCACAGCGGCCCCACCCGTTTCTGGGTTCCTTATACAATGTAAATTGTTTAAATCGCCTAAACAGAAAGGGCGCTCGATACGAACGTATACACGGATCAAGAGAAAACTACTAAGAATGTGATAATATAAAGACTTACCCTTCTTCCACCTCCGCCCCACGACATGGCTGTGTAGTAAGATCACAAATAAATCCCAAAAGTACCCTAAAGGGTAGGGGACACCACACACAGGTTAACGATCCCACGTCAAAAGGAAGAACATGTAAGTGTGTGATTGGTTACGCTCCAGCGGGTATATACACCCGAATTCAATGAACACGGAAACAAATGCGCATGCGTGTGGTATGGTCAGTCTGACTGTATATATTAATTTTTTTTGTATGTCAGATTTTAGTTTGATTATCGGATTTAGGAAAACGTGACCGTATATGTGTATATATATAAAAAAAAATACGTATGGCAAAGGTAACACGGGTGTCAGTCGTACATATCGAAATATAGACATATACTCCATTTCCTGTCTAATACCTCCAACAGGTGTGAAAGGTAAATAATTAAAAGGAAATCACCACTACTATCTGTCTGTTCGTATATATAGTGCGAGCACTCTTTACACTTGTTCGGGTTTGTATATTCGAGGTTAAGGTTGTTTGTACCGTCTGTACAGTATCTGTACGACCTACGATCTTTAGTCAGAACTATTTCTCATCACGAAACTGGATATTGGTCAATTTAACACGTCTACTGTACATACACTGTACGTGTACATAACGTGCGAAACGTGTGTGCTTACATGTAGACACGTGCTACATTTCTGTATTATTTAAATGATAAAAAAATGTTTTTGCTAAGGAAAAGAGAATTCAAAAATCATTCAAAAAGGGTTAAAAAACAGCCCGAATATTAATTTTGAAAACTTTCTCTCTTTTTGATATTTCAGAGAGAAAATTTTGAAAATAAAAAAATGCCCGGGTGTCTGGGTGTCCGGCAGTCCACCACTCGTGCTCAACGTCACTACCCCCCACCCCCTCAAAATTGATAGACCTTAACTTATCAGATATAGTATCACAGTGTAGACAGGATTCCTTGAAGATTCATTTCAATAGCTTCATTAAAACCCATTTGCGTTCAGAGTGGGAGTATAAAATACAGCTCACACGTTGCGAAGAGGTACCGTGGGCCCGTATTTCTCACCTACATCACACCACTGTTGTCTATGTATGATAGGCAAATGAATACAAGAATACCAGAATCCCGAATTCTTTATAGGTAAATAAATACTTAAATAACAAAAGCCTAACGCTTCAATACTGTAATTGACCTCGGGGTTCTGTACCATCAAAGACAATTTCCCGGGTCTCTGATTAGGTACATTATACCAACTAGACTTGAGGGACTGGAGAATTGAGACTCGATGTGAATTTTGATATATGTTTATGTGTGCTATAGGACAACAAAGGCTCCTGCATATAAATGTCCTTAACTGTATTTGTCCTCTAATTTGCGGCACATCAGAAAATGTCTGTATAATTATGTATGTCCCTACAATTCTCGTGTCCTTTTAGTGTCCCGTACATAATTTAACACCACAACACGGCTCGCTCTTTTTTTTTTATCGTGGATTCAATGTAAGATTTTATTCTCTGCTGTCTGTTGGCGGTAAATACTTATCTTACTTTACCTGTACACAGCTTTTGTTTATTTTAACTTTTCACGGATGGCGGCCTTTTACTGTCCACCTTATAATTATAACCGACCTAAGCCGCTCGTTCGGTGTCCGTGTAAGTGTATATATATATACCTGCTCAGCACAACAATGCCAAACAGCATCTCTAGAGTATTAGTTTCGCACAGTCACTCCACAAACAGCATGGGATCGTTAAGGTCAGTTGTGGTGGCTAGCCAAGGACCTCGTGAAAGGCCACATGATTAATCTATATAAACGGTCAACAAATGAAAGCGAAATATATCCTATTAAGAAAAACTCGTACATTGAACCAAGATTAAAAATCGATTTTCTCATTCTTATTGTCAACATATGTAATTTTATTAACAAGTTTTTTCGCATCTTGCTTGTTTTCAGGTAATATTGCAAGAGCTTTAGTCGCGAGTATCACGTTATCACAAATACAAAGTCGAGTATTATATTGTTTTTTACATTATATCACGAGCAATGATATCATTTTCGAGTTGAACTGCTTAAAGTGCATAATTCGTGTGTCGATTCACCTTTAAGATTCAAACCTCAATAGATCTAAACTAATTTATTGAAAAATATTTTATATGAATTAAAAGATACTAAATTTTCAGGTTGTAGCGTACATATTTGGTAGAGACGTATTTTTGTGTATCTCTACTCTCTAAAGTGTGTTTGATTGCGGACACCTAGGAGATTAGTTTAAGAACACTTAAAGAACTAAGCCAGTAATGAATGAATGTTCTCATGCCATAATTGAACTTAATTTGTAATAAGTGAATTGAACCTGTCACGAGCGAACATTTCTCGTCATGAGTGAACTTAACCCCGTTTTGAGTAAATTTCATCGGAATGACTATATTTTGCCTGTCTTGGGTGAACATAACTGTAGACTTGGGTGATCTTATCACTGTTATGAGTGAACGTATCCTGTCATGAGCGAATTTATTCTGTTGTGAGTGAAATTAATATTTTATGACTGAATTCCTTTTGTTTTGAGTGAAATTATTCTCTCACGAGTAAATTAATCTGTCTGGAGAGAACTTAACATGTCCCGAGTGAACTTGTCTGGATAGGCAGGGGATTTATCCTGTTATGATTGAACTTAACTCGACTTCAGTGAACTTATTCCGTCATGAGTGAACTTTAACTATCTTGAATGAACTCATCGTAGCTAAAGCGAATTTAATTGGTTTTGAGTGAACATATCATGGTATGAGTTGATTGACTTTGTCCGTTCCTTAATAAACGTATTCTGTCACGGGCGAACTTATGAATGAACTTTTCACGAGTGAACGTTACTTGTTTCAAGTGAACTCAACCTGCCATGTTCTAATGTAACCAGTGATTGAGTGAACTTAACAATTCATGAGTATACAACTTTCATGAATAAATCTTACACGCCGTCAGTGAACTAGCCCTGTCATAACGTTTGGCAATAAGATACAGTACCAAGAGGTAAACAAACTGCTAAAATATTCAAAGTTCTGTATAACTTGTACCTTGACACAAAAATGGATATGAGATGATCAACTCCAGCACCTGGTTGAATGAAATATGGTTAAAATGTTCGCCGTTTTATTCGCAGTTTTCTTGAATAATACATATTGTTCAGTAATGAATGGCGCGGTTTGTCATGACTGTTAACCAGTGACTTATCTTGTAAGCTGGCGATTCTTTATAATATCAAAAACAGCTGAGGGTCTACAATCGACGATTAACAATTTTCAAGAATAATGGCAAAACTGGAAATTTGAGACACATCGTGACAACGAAAACTTAGATTGAAAAGTGAAACCAGAAACCGTGATAGCGAGCTAGCTGCCCAAATTACTTCTTCCCACACGAGAGTATTCTATGATTATAATGGAAGTTTTGTGAGGACAATAAAAATCATTATTGGTACAAGCTTCCCCCAAAAGAAACATCAAATTACAACTTAATGCGCAATTTAAGTGACAGTACCGTTTCGCTAGTTGCTCTCACTTTTTTTATTCTCCGCCGAGAGATAGAGCTTCGAGAATACAAGTATCCTTGAAAACAGTAGACACAAATACAATTTTGTAAAAGAAGTTTTGGTTTAAAAAAAAAGTATGAAAAATTTATTTATACCCCTTTGATTTTGTTGAGTTTTAGTATTCAGTGAAAACAAATTGTCTATTCCGTCTTTGCGTATTGCAGAGTTATCTTCTCTTGGGGGCAGGTATTGATTGTTACGTCATTGGTTTGTGTGAAAAAAAATCGTCGTTTTATCAAAAATTGATGACGTTACTCTCACAAACCAATGACGTAACAATCAATACCTGCTCACAAGAGAAGATAACTCTGCAATATGCAAAGACGGAATACCGATGTTTGTATTGATGTATACAATGCTGTTATCCGGAGAGGTCGAGTTACAATAGTTAAACTATATATAAAGAATATATTTATGTCGGTTTAAGTTTGTGTTTGAACGTTTCAGAACATTTATTTGTCAGATATCAATTTTAAACAGAAAATAATTACATGTACATAGAAATGATATAGCCTGTTTATATTTGGTGTTGGTTGAATGGGCGACTCATTCAGGTGGAGCGTATGTTCTACATTTAAACTTTAAATTGGGTTGAGAATTACTTAATTGGATAACAGATTACATCATAAGATTGAAAAAAAATGTATAAATTTAGAACCTGTGAAATATCTAACCTTTCTATTTAAATAGAAATGTGGACACGATTTTTGCTATACAAGGCAGCTTTGGTTGGTAGGGTTAAACGTCTGTAGTATTTACAGCAGCACCTGTATTAACAGGTCACCCTTGGTAAGTCCCAAAACAGTCTCTCAACACAGGTGGTCTCTTAATACAGGTTCAAGTCAAAATGAAATTACTATGATTTGGAACATTAAAAGTGGTCTCTTAACACAGGTGGTCTCTTAATACAGGTTTAAGTCACGATGAAAGTACTATGATTTTGAACATTAAAAGTGGTCTCTTAACACAGTTGGTCTCTTAATACACATTCAAGTCACAAAGAAATTACTATGATTTGGAACATTAAAAGTGGTCTCTTAACACAGGTGGTCTCTTAATACAGGTTCAAGTCACAAAGAAATTTCTATGATTTTGAACATTAAAAGTGGTCTCTTAACACAGGTGGTCTCTTAATACAGGTCAATCTAATTAAAATTATATCTTCACATCGCTCCCGTTTACTGCTATATATAGTGTCGCGTTGAAGATCTAACAACATCGCGTAGAGGGTCATGTTCAGGCGACCTTTGCATTAACCAATCAGATGAGAGCTTACGAATTTCTGTAAGTGATGATGTAATGATTTCGGAACACACTTGCTATGATAAATGACCGAGAGGTGTCAAATGAGCATCGAAAATGGCGGCGCCCATGACACCACGCCGTGTCTATCTATGAGACAACGTTTGTACAATTTGTGGATTTTGCTTTGAAATAAGAGAGACTTCCTCTTCTGGTGATGTTGTCGTTTAAAAGTTTAACAACCTGAAACTAAAATTAACCAATGACAGGCTTCGCAATATTCAAACTATCACTGGACCAGACGATTTTGGGCTAC